CACCTACTTATCCTCTGTGCGGTGAGCTACTTCATGATAAAGCGGACGTTGTGAAGCCTCTCAGTCAAATGGACTGTACAATAAAACAGAGAATCTATACGCTGAGAGACTAATTCAACTTGAAAAAACAGCGCGAGCGTGTGTGTTTGTGGGGGTGGGGGGGTGGGGGGGGGGGTTGGGATATAAAAAAAGGGGGAAAAAAAAAGGGGGGGGGGGGTAGAAGAGGTTCTGAATGATATTTAACAGGGAGAAACTGTCAGTCTTTTAATCAGGTTGCAAGTGATACTATTAGCATATCGACTCTTCGTTTACAAGTGGACGAACAACCATAATTTTGAGTGGAAGTTTACAGCTAGTGAATGCTAAGAAAAACAAAGACCTGTTACTCATCATAGACTGGGCGAACCTGAAAGCCGATTTCAATTTTGAAAGATAATTCTATTTCAATGCAGACTAGAATCCTAATTCTTTGTGCCTGCAGACGGGCCTCTAGCCACAACACCACCGGAGCACCAATTTTGAGTTAAGAAAACGAGAGAAAAGACCTTCCAGATCTTGAAAATACCGAGAGTGTTTCATGATGGTCACATTTTACATCGCCTAATGCTTCACCGGAAGGGATCGATGATGTGGACTACTCATGGGAGATCCTACATTTCGTTTCCTATTTTGCGTATAAAGGCTTGTCCCACTCATTTTTGTTAAGTGTATCGCTCGTTTCACTGCAGTAATACTATACAATATCCTGGAGATATAGTGTTTCAAAAGGATAGCATCTCTTGCAAAAGCAAACAATACGGGCTTTTGAAATTGCGCAACTGTTTGGCATTTTCAGCACCATAATATGTTGTTGGTTTATCAAATAAACATCTGTTATGCTGGTTGAAAAGTAAATGAAGAGGTTATGTTAGATGTTAAGTCACTAGGGGTAATTTCTTCTTTTCCTGATCCTAATTCTTTTGTCGTCTTCGCTTTCTCGTCCTCCTCCCCTAACTACTTCTCCTTTTTCTTCTGCCGTTGCTGCTCTTTCTTTCTTTCTTTCTTTCTTTCTTTCTTTCTTTCTTTCTTTCTTTCTTTCTTTCTTTCTTTCTTTCTTTCTTTCTTTCTTTCTTTCTTTCTTTCTTTCTTTCTTTCTTTTTCTTTTTCTTTTCTTTCTTTCTTTCTTTCTTTCTTTCTTTTTCTTTCTTTCTTTCTTTCTTTCTTTCTTTCTTTCTTTCTTTCTTTCTTTCTTTCTTTCTTTCTTTCTTTCTTTCTTTCTTTCTTTCTTTCTTTCTTTCTTTCTTTCTTTCTTTCTTTCTTTCTTTCTTTCTTTCTTTCTTTCTTTCTTTCTTTCTTTCTTTCTTTCTTTCTTTCTTTCTTTCTTTTTGCTATCCTTCCTTTCTTCATTTTTCTTTCCTTCCTTCCTTTCTTTTTTTCTAGCCTCCCCCTTATTCTTGTTGTACTTCTTCTTCTTTTTCTTTTGCTTTTTCTTCTTCTTCTTCTTCTTCTTCTTCTTCTTCTTCTTCTTCTTCTTCTTCTTCTTCTTCTTCTTCTTCTTCTTCTTCTTCTTCTTCTTCTTCTTCTTCTTCTTCTTCTTCTTCTTCTTCTATTATAATCCGCTCAAATTTCCATTTAGTGTTTGCCGTAGACCTAGTTAACATCCGTTCATCTTCTCTGCCTTTTCTTCTTTCTTTTTGAGTTTATTAAACATAAACTCAGTGTCTTCAACATTGAACATTGACGGAGAATCTATTGGAATGGTTGCTGTTAGTTAGTTATTTGCTGCCCGTAAACGGAGAATCTATGGGTATGCCTTGTGTTAGTTAGTTACTTGCTGCGGGATAGGAGAATCAATGAGTATGCCTTGTGTTGGTAAGTTAGTTATTTGCTGCGGGAGAGGAGAATCTATGAGTATGCCTTGTGTTGGTAAGTTAGTTTTTTGCTGGGAGAGGAGAATCTATAGGATTGCCTGGTGTTAGTAAGTTAGTTATTTGCTGCGGGAGAGGAGAATTTATAGGTTTGTCTGGTGTGAGTTAGTTAATTGCTGCGGGAGAGGAGAATCTATGAGTATGCCTGGTGTTGGTAAGCTAGTTATTTGCTGCAGGAGACAGAGAATCTATGGCTATGCCTGGTGTTTGTTAGTTATTTGCTGAGGGAGAGGAGAATCTATGGGTATGCATGGTGTTAGTTAGGTAATTGCTGCGGGAGACAGGGAATCTGTAGGTATGCCTAGTGTTAGTTTTTTGCTGCAGGAGACAGTGAATCTAAGGGTATGCTTGGTGCTGGTTAAGTAGTTAGTCGACAGATTATCCCCATTGCCCGTAGAAATACTCAGTCCATTAGTGCTCGGATCCCCTCCTCAGTAAATTCCGCAACGTGTAGCGGCTGACGACACTAGGTCTGTCTTGATTTATAATTCTTCTTTGGCTACTTGCGTAGTGTTCTTGTTTGGAGACACCGCGTTTAGCTTGCGGTTCTTGCAGTCTGACCATAGTTGCAAAATTTACAGTTCTTAACTGGTTTACGCCAACATCTTGAATCTCAATGAGAAGTTAGTGTATCAGCCTAGTCCATGGCTTGTCCGGCTTTCATAGTAGCCTTACCTGCAAGTCTATCAGCTTGCTCATTTCCTTGTACCCCTACATGTCCTGGCACGATAATGAAACTCATCATTGTGAACGTCGTAGAGCCACCAAACACTGCATTTGAACCCAGCTCTTCTCTATCTATGCCTGGTGTGCTATGTTGCTGATTTTTAAAGCAGTCATTCTACCGCGTTTGCCCTTGAAAGGATAGTTAATTTAATGCATTGAGGTTTACAGCTGGGCTGTGGTATTTGCTGCTTTTGACTCAACACATTTAATTTGGTCCGTTTCATGACAAGTCCCGAGCCCTCAACCCCACCGCCCCCTCTACCCCCACCCCTACCTCCCCATTTGGGGCTCCAGAACCCACTCGGGTATGTCACAATCTAATACCGAATAATTACACCCACGTACAGAAATACAAATCTGACAGTCAGCTTCAAAAGGGATGGTATCTTTCTAATAGTATCCAATCACGCACACGGTGTGGAAGCAGAAAAGATCCCATTATATTCCCCCTTCCGGCCCCAGAACGACAAGTTCTTACTGTGATACAAAATCTATAGCCTAGCCTTTTCAGGTCCGGAAATTTTTGCCGCCAAATGTCAGGGTGGAAAATCATCGCAGTGAAAAAATGCATGACTATTTGACTGTCATAAGAATATTAAATGTTAACCTGAGAGAAAAAGGGGGAGGGGGAAGACAGAGAGAGAGAGAGAGAGAGAGAGAGAGAGAGAGAGAGAGAGAGATAGATAGAGAGAGAGAGAGAGAGATGGAGACAGAGAGAGACAGAGAGAGAGAGAGAGAGAGAGAGAGAGAGAGAGAGAAAGAGAGGACTGTTTTCTGCCATTTGCGCATAAGGCATATCGTGTTAAACTTATAGTTTATAAACCAATCAGCTAAAAGCCCCCCCCCCCCCCCCCCCCCCCATTTTCACCCCAAACCCCGCCCACATTGTATTATCTCTTTTAAAATATTTTTGTTTTAAAAATATATGTTTCATATTATTTCGTATAGTACATTCATATTAAAGGATGGGGGAAAATAGGGGGGGGGGGGGGGGGGGGAGATGCTATTCAGTGCATAATCATTATTACTAAGTACAGAAAAAGTAAAGATCCCTTTACACGCCTTTAGGCGCATCGGGCATATGGGAAGAGCACCCATATTTTACAGACCAATCGGCACTCGGTGGGTAATGTGGTCAGCATTACGCCGGCCGTCTTTACTTTCCCAGGACAGCCAATCCTGGTACCCATCTGAGGCTAGGTCGACCTGCGACGTCCCATACCACGATAAAAATCCACGCAGCCTACGCAGGTTTCGATCGCGGTACGTTGGATTACGAGTCAGACTCGCAACGCCTTAGCCACGGACGCCGCGGGCATAAAGGACTAGACCTATAAGCATTAGACCAATCACCATTAGGTGGGTAATGTGATTAGTATCACGCCGGCCGCCTGTACTTCCCGGGACTGAACCTGGTACCCACTCAAGGCTGGGTCGACCTGGGAGCCGAGGTCATTTATAAAAAAAAAAAAAAGTCTTCTCTGACAGGACCCAAACCCACCACCCATCGCAAGCGAGAGTCTAGCCCCTACACCACGGCCACTCCCCATTATTACTAGTGCGCACTTAAACAAAAACTTAAATCCCTTGATGACATGCTTTACAGTCCACAACACCCCCCCCCCCGCCCCTCCCCTCGTGCACCGGCGCCAGCCTCTAAGGCAACAGTTCTCAACCTGTCGATTGCGACTCTTTTTTTGGCGGTCATTGGACAACACATATTCATTGAAGTTATGAAGGGAAATAATTGTTTAGGGGCGCCACAACATGAGGGAACTGTATAAAAGGATGGCGGCATTAGGAAGGTAGAGACTTATCTATGACTACTTCTCGTCCTTTTTTAGGATGCAATTTTTCGTTATTTGAAGCCCTACTCTGGCTCTTGCCAGGGGCCGCAATATAACTTGGCCATAAATATGGGCTAAAGGCTGAACGCGGTTTCTGAGACCTCTCCACGGGTGATCCCCATCCACATGGTGGCACATTGTGTCATTGGATGTTCATCGCTTGTGTGATGTCCTGTTGGGGTAGAAAGTCAGTCAGTCAGTCAGTCAGTCAGGAAGGTGGAAAGCTACTGTTCTAGACGAATGATGAGTACCCCACACTACAACTATTTCTTCGCGATGGCGCCTGTGAGTAGGTTGGTTGCAAGAAGTAGAGTTGACCTGTTGGAAGATCAAGCTACGGAGCTCATGCACTTCGGACTCAGGCTTGAGTCAGAAGTAGAGCGGAGCACTTATGGGTTACTACCCTTGTGCCAAAAGCCGTCTCCATCTGACGGGGCATGCTGCTGACTTACGCATAGTTAGCCCAGTTTTGTGACGTCAGCAGCATGGCCCGTTAGATTGAGATTGTCTTGCTTGTGTCATGATGTTGATTCGTCATCTAAACCTAAACCAAGCTGACAGACAGGGGAATGCCACTGACAGACAGGGAAATGCCACTGACAGACAGGGAAATGCCACTGACAGACAGGGAAATGTCACTGACAGACAGGGAAATGCCACTGACAGACAAGGAAATGCCACTGAAAGACAGGGAAATGCCACTGACAGACAGGGAAATGCCACTGACAGACAGGGAAATGCCACCGACAGGGAAATGCCACTGACAGACAGGGAAATGCCACCGACAGGGAAATGCCACTGATAGACAAGGAAATGCCACTGACAGACAGGGAAATGCCACTGACAGACAGGGCAATGCCACCGAGAGACAGGGCAATGCCACCGACAAAGAGGGAAATGCCACCGACAGGGAAATGCCACTGACAGACACGGAAATGCCACTGACAGACAGGGCAATGCCACCGACAGACAGGGAATGCCACCGACAGACAGTGAAATGCCACCGACAGACAGGAAAATGCCACCCAGAGACAGGGAAATGCCACCGTCAGTCAGGAAAATGCCACCAGGGTGGTGCAGTTGTGTATGTGCTAAATACAACATAACATAAGGTTGTACAGTTCAAACGAGGGAATGCAAAAGTCGGGTACGAATATCTCTGGACGTCCCAACCAAAGTCTTCATCAACGGAGAACTAATTACAACACAAACTGTGATTGGACAAGTCAGAACTTTCCGCCGGTGAACACACAAAAAAAACGAAAAAAAAACGAACAAACAAACGAACAAACGAACGAACTTTATTTTCAAAGTGTTACAAATTGGGCACGCAGGCCAGTCTTACACTCGGCCCTTTAAAGCAGCCATTTTTCACACAGCAGTTGTATTTGATTAATAAAGCAGGTTTTGTTTATACGATAATATGCATATCTTGAAATTAACAAAAAAGAAAACAAAAGCATGGTTGGTAAAGTGCATGGCCAAATACGCGTGTACAGAACACACATACACACACATACAACACACACCCATACATACAACACACACCCATACATACACACACATAATACATACATACACACACGTACATACACATTTCACACACATATACAGACACAGACCTACATACCAACAAACGAACACACACAAACACATACATGCACACGCAAACAGAGACATCCTCAGATACATACGCAGACACAAACACAAATAGGCAAACACACAGGTAGACACACCTACACACAGACACATTCGCAGACACAACACACAGACACATTCGCAGACACAACACACAGACACATTCGCAGACACAACACACAGACACACGCCCACAGACACACACACACAGATAGATAGATAGATGGATGGATAGCTAGACAGACAGACAGACAGACAGACAGACAGACAGACAGACAAGACAAGACAAGACAAGACAAGACAAGACAAGACAAGACAAGACAAGACAAGACAAGACAAGACAAGACAAGACAAGACAAGACAAGACAAGACAAGATACAAGACAAGACAAGACAAGACAAGACAAGACAAGACAAGACAAGACAAGACAAGACAAGACAAGACAAGACAAGACAAGACAAGACAAGACAAGACAAGACAAGACAAGACAAGACAAGACAAGACAAGACAAGACAAGACAAGACAGGATAGATAGATAGATAGATAGATAGATAGATAGATAGATAGATAGATAGATAGATAGATAGATTAGATAGATAGATAGATAGATAGATAGATAGATAGATAGATAGATAGATAGATAGATAGATAGATAGATAGATAGATAGATAGATAGATAGATAGATAGATAGATAGATAGATAGATAGATAGATAGATAGATAGATAGATAGATAGATAGATAGATAGTCTAACGATATCGCAAAACTTCATTTCCATAAATCGGAAGCATAACTCTCGCCGGCTGACAGGTCGCCCGAATGAGTGCATCAGAGTAACATCCCCTGTGATGGCAGATGCTACTACTAGAAGAAGCTGGATATGACTATTGGTGTTATATTTTATGAAAGTTTAATCAAACGGGGTTAAGTGATTCCAGAGAATGGAGGCAGAACTGATACAATAAGGGGTTGTTGGAGCGTGTAAAGCTACTGTGAGATTGAAAATCCCATATTGGGGAAAGTGAGTGGTAGGTGACAGCAGGAGATAAAAGATGGCTTGCGGAATTTGAGGGGGTAGGGTGGGAGATTGTTAGAGAAATTCAGAAATATATAAATAGAGACTGAGAGAGAGATTTTGTGAATACGTGAGTAAGCAAATCGGGAAAAATAAATAGGTGAAAGAGAAAAGGCGAGAGAAATAGAATCACAGAGAGAGAGAGAGAGAGAGAGAGAGAGAGAGAGAGAGAGAGAGAGAGAGAGAGAGAGAGAGAGAGAGAGAGAGAGAGAGAGAGAGAGAGAGAGAGAGAGAGAGAGAGAGAAGCGAGAGAGATAGAGATAGTGAGACAGAGAGTGTGAGACAGTACGAAAACATGAATTTATTTTCAAACGTCACAAAGAGGGCACGCAGGCCCTTCTTACATCCCACCCTTCCCTTTACTCATCTTTCACATATTGTATTTGATCTAGACAGAGAGATAAAAAAAAATGATTTAGCGAGATACGGATGGGACAGATAGAGAGACAAGCAAGGGATGAAGATATAAAGAGAGGAGATAACAAAGGGAGAAAGAAAAGTATCGATAAATCAAGGCAACAAAACTGAAAACTAAACTGATATTTCATACTGTTAAAATTATAGGTGTTTTGAACTGCGTCTTTCCCACGTGGGTTCTGGTGGCCTAATATGAGGAAAACAAGAACAGACCACTGCCAACCCAAAAGCATGTCGTAAGAGTCGACTAACTAGGAGCTTTCTTCAAAGTCGTAGTGCATCTGCTTGAGAGGCAAGGAACCAAAAGTCTGCGCACAAATGTCAGAATTGTCAAACGGATGCACACGCAATACTAAGGTTCTGGAATAATCTATGGAAAAAGAGACGATGAAAGACAACGCGAGAAGAATATTGACAGCTGTTGGTTATGATATGTAGGGGTGTCAGTACACGAACTGATACATGTTGCAAAAGATCATAGATTGTGGAGAGGCTTAATTCTCCCAAGCCAGTCGGCAAGGCAATTCCCGATGATGATGATGATGATGATCGAGTTTTTAAATGGGTAGGAAATTATAGGGAAGAGAAAAAGTTGGTAAGAAAGAAATAACAGTTTATGTTAGCTTTACAAAATCGATCACAATAAACAAACAAAGGACGTTGCGGCGATTAGCCTTCATCAGCACGTAAAGAACAACACAGTACACATACACAAATATGCTCTAACTATGAAGTGACTACATAGGATGATCGAGGAGCGTGTAACGCTACTAGGAGTGTGAAGATATCTTTCAAATTGAGGGGAGGTAGATGGAGAGAAGCGACTAATAAAGTATGGACCCCTTTCCACGCCTTTATGCGTATTGAGCGAACATGGCTAGACCTATATTTTACAGACCAATCTGCACTCTGTGGGTGATATGGTCAATATCCCGCTGGCCGCCTTTACTTTCCATGACTTCACCTGGTACCCATTATGATTGGGTCGACCTGGGAGCCGAAGCCATCTTTGAAAAAAATAATACACCCATGACCTTCAGATCCGCAGGCGGCAACCTAGCCGCTACACCACGGCGGCTGTATGACTGGTAAATGACCCTGGGGATATACAAGTTTAACTTAGTTTAGTTTAGTTTAGCTTAGCTTAGTTTAGTTTAGTTTAGTTTGGCTTAGTTTAGTTGAGCTTAGTTTAGTTTAGCTCAGTTTATTTTAGCTCAGTTTATTTAGCTTAGTTTAGTTTAGCTTAGTTTAGCTTAGCTTAGTTTAGTTTAGCTCAATTTAGTTTGGCTTATTTTAGTTTAGCTTAGTTTAGGTGAGCTTAGTTTAGTTTAGCTCAGTTTAGTTTGGCTTAGTTTAGTTTAGCTTAGTTTAGTTTGGCTTAGTTTAGTTTAGCTTAGTTTAGTTTGGCTTAGTTTAGTTTAGCTTAGTTTAGTTTAGCTCAGTTTAGTTTGGCTTAGTTTAGTTTAGCTTAGTTTAGTTTGGCTTAGTTTAGTTTAGCTTAGTTTAGTTGAGCTTAGTTTAGTTTAGCTTAGTTTAGTTTAGCTTTTTTTAGTTCAGCTTAGTTTAGTTGTGCTTAGTTTTTTTTTTTATATCCAGAAGCCATGAGTTGTTAATCCTTTGGCACGGTATATGGATAAGGCAACCTTGCGGACTTGATTCCATGATAGTACCTTAAATCTGGAGAAAATGTGGTTTTTCTGCTTACCCCCGGGCGTGAACCCGGACCACAAGGAGTTCGTCACTCGATCGTCGCAAAGTCAGGTTTAGCCAACTACGCTAGGGAGTCGGGCTTAGCTTAGTTTAGCTTAGCTTAGTTTAGCTTACTTTACTTTAGTTTAGTTTAGTTTAGCGAACGGATTAACATCATGGTACACGAGTGAGCCTGAGTTAGAAATATCTCAGCGCAGTGCACAACCTCTGTTGCACCGGCGAGAATCCTGAAATACTTTGGGTAGATTTGTAGTTTTTTTCGATTTCCAATTGCCAAGGGATTTTGTACGTCTGCAACAATACACACGGGCGTCCTATCTTACAACCAATAGACCAAAGGAAATTACTAGAAGCGCACGTAAAGAAATCCCAGCCTTTACCGGGGCCTGAACCCGGAACCTCCAGTACTGGAGGTGGATGCCATAACTCGCGACAATGCAGCTGGGGATATATACAAGAGACGCTTTACCCGTAACATCTGTGGCTTGACGTTTCTCTTCACGTGAGTCTGTCCAATGGACACTAGGACGCTGTTGAGGAAGTCAGAATCATCTAGACTCTCCACGGCTGCCCCAAGACCTTCCATGACCGTCACTGCATGTCTCTGGAGAAAGAAATATCAATTAATGAAGAAATAAATCTAAGCAAAGGGCCCTTTTCCAACACTTTTTATGCCATGAGTTGATAACCCTTAAGCTCGGTATTATGGATATCGCAACCTTTCTGCCTTGATTCCATTGTAAATACCGTAAATTTGGGAGAAATGTGGCTTTTCTGCCTACCCCCCGGGAGTGAACCCGAACCACAAGGAGTTCGTCACCCGGTCACCGCGCAATCCGGTTTAGCCAACTACGCTAGAGAGCCGGGCAGGCGTATTGGCTATACAGGACTAGACCTATATTGTATAGACCGAACGGCACATGTTGGCTGATGTGGTCAGCGTCACACCGGCCGCCTTTACATCCCAGGACTGCATATGGTACCCAGTCATGGCTAGGTCGACCTGGAAGCCAAGGTCATTTTTTAAAAATGTCCGGCCTCAGTGAGGAATCGATCCCACGACCTTCTGATTCGCATGCCACTGTCTAGTCGCTAGACCACGGCGCCTCCCATCAATAAATATGGAAAACAATGTAAGTTTTATGTGGGCCCTAATCCCCCCTCCCCCCACCTGCCTTTTTTTTTTGGCTTTGTTAATTGTGTGTCCTTTACCACACTTAAAGGTTTGATGTTTGTGGTCTTAACAACGGATCAACATCAGGCCACACAGGTAGTAACCCGTGAGTGCTCCGTTATTCTTCTAACTCAGCTCTGAGTCCGAAGAAGCTCAGCACAGTGCACAGGCTCTGTAGCACCGGCGAGGATAGTAAATACTTTGGGTAGATTTTTAACTCAAAATTTTTGCCTGGGCAGCGCCGTTGGGCTACTGTATTCGATTTTCAACTGCCAAAGGAGTTTTTACGCGCGCAAAAATGCACACTGGCGTCTGATCTGACTACCCAGAAACCAGGGGGAATTACTAGATATCCAAGTCCATGTGAAAAAATCCTAACCCTTACCGGGGATCGAAACCGGAACCTCCAGCACTCGAGGCGGTCACCATGTCTCCAGACCACGCAGCGCGCTCTTTACAACAGAAAAACCTGGTAAGTAAGGGCAGCAGGGTGATGTTAACCCCATGACCCATCGAATGACGACTGATCTATAAACTATACGTCTAGCCCTATGTGTCCAATAGCTCTAAAGAGTCCTTTTCTGTTACAGTATGAAAACGTTTTTCACCCCCTTACAGCAGACAGAACGTGCGCACAGCAAGTAGAAATACAGCCAACAAACATGTGCGAGCAATCTGCCACGAGTGCCAGAGTCGACAGCAAAAAAAAAAAAAAAGTGATGAATTTACCGAGGTATTGGAAACAATTAAAGCAGTGAATCAGAGATGCCATGTATTTTAGACGTTCATACATGTAGCTTAAATCATTATCATCATCATCATCATCATCGTCCTCATCATCATCATCACTACCACCCTGTTGTGCGATTTTATGTTGAACACGGTTAGCATTTTATTCATCCATTGCGTTCTGTATACAAAGACAGCAAACATAGAAATAGTTAGTGCCCTAAACGAAAGATGTGACTGTTGACAACAATGAAGCTTCTCAAAGTGCTATACGCCCACCTCTGACATTTACATTATAGTGGTAACCCAGAATCCGAACATAAACCGTCCCGATATATTGTTCGAATTTCAAATCATTGGAGTTCCAAGGTAGTTAGGTAGGCAAGGTACCCCACCAGGGCGTCAAACAAGCGATAAACACCCTGACAGAAAGTGCCGCCATGCAAATGGGAATCACCCGTCGAGAGGTCCCAGAAACCCCGTTCTGCCGTAAGGCCATATTTAAGGCCTGGCTATATTTAGGGCCCCCGGCAAAAGCCAGGGTGGGGGTTCAAAATAACTAAAAATTGCATCCCAAACAAAGGGTAACTGTGTACATTGAAAATTTCGTTCCAAACCAGTTTTTCCCCCATTGAAAAATAATTTAAAAAAATAAAATAAACCAGTTTGTTTCAATGTCCAACAAACTAGAATTATATAATGTATTTTTTTTAAATAAATACAGTACTTTGTAAATAATGTAACAAATGATGATCCATTTTGAATACAAACATAAATGAACAGTATTTGAAAAAAAAAAAGAAAATTAACATTCTCTAAACTGTATTTTGATCAAAATAGTGACACTGCACTTGATGTTTGAGGTTTAAACAATGGATCAACATCATGGCACACCTGTAGTAACGAATTTTTTTACGTGGACTTTGGCTTCTAATATTTCCCCTCGTCTCTGGGTAGTGAGATCGGACGCCCGTGTGCATTGTTGCGCACGTAAAAAGTCTCGTGGCCTTTGGAAATCGAAAAGAGTAGCCTAACGGCATAATTTGTTGTTTAAAATCCACCTAAAGTATTTCATGATCCTCGCCGGTGCTACAAAGCTTGTGCACTGTTCTCAGCTTCTTCGGACTCAGACTTGAGTTAGAAGAACAATGGAGCACTTATGTGTTACTAACCGTGTGCCAGGATGTTGATCCGTTGTTCAAACTTCAATGAATGTTTGTTCTGCCATGGTCTTTAGCGACCCCTGCGAAAGGGTCGTTCGACCCCAAAAAAGGTTGCGACCCATAGGTTGAGAACTGCTCGTTAAGAGTGACACGTTTTTATTGACAGCCGGAATTTCAAAGTGTTGGCGACCAAATTTAATTTTTCTAAAATGTTCGATTAGGTTCACGTTAGTCTCCCCAAAGAGAGTAGGTCACTTTTCATTCACAAGTTTGTTGTGCTGGTCGACTTTGCTGAAGGTTACGGGTATGTGCCCCTCTCTTGCTTGTTTTCTGTTATGTCTTGCATTTACGTTTTCATTCCGAGAAAAAGAATGCCGATGACATTGGTTGCAGCACTCTCTAAAGGTGTTGTGTTAGACCTAGTTTCTCCACGTTTTCTTAGTCTTAAAAGCTGTGGCGTGCTGAAGTATACAACACGCGATATCAACTGCTTGCGGAACACTCCCGTAACCATGTGCGAAGTTGACGGGGCTCAGGAACTACTAATCAGAAGTGAATTAGAGTGTATATGGGCGGGGTTTGACTAACATCAAACTAACATAATTTTCGATTATATTATCATTGAATATGTTAACACAGCCGTTAACTAGGACCAAGGCGACGTTCGAGTTCCAAGGCACAATTTCCCTGAAAATTGCGTTCGGATTCCAAATTGTTCCAGCTGTGAGGCGTTTGGATTCTGAGCTATCACTGTATATTCATATAGTATTGCTACCAAATTACACTGTGATTTGACAGTGTGGTCTTACACTGATTTAACAGTGTGGTTTGACACTATGATTTGACAGCATGATCTGACAGCATTGTTTGACACTGTGATTTGACAGCGTGGTTTAACAGTGTGATTTGACAGCGTGGCTTGACAGTGTGGTTTGACAGCGTGGTTTAAAACTGTGATTTGTCAGCATGGTTTGACATTGCTATTTGATAGCGCGATTAACAACTGTGATTTGATAGTATAGTTTGACATTGTGATTTGACAGTATGCTTGACATTATTATTTGACAGCGTGATTTAACACTGTGATTTGACAGCATGATTTAACACTGTGATTTGACAGCATGGTTTGACACTGATTTGAGAGCATGGTTTGACACTGTGATTTGACAGCGTGGTTTAACACTGTGATTTAACAGCGTGGTTGGACACTGTGATTTGATAGCGTGGTTTAACAATGTGATTTGACAGCATCGTTTGACAGTTTGATGTGACAGCTTGGTTTGGCACTGGGATGTGTCAGCGTGGTTTGATAGTGTAGATGGAACTGTGGTATGACACCGTAGTAAGGCAGTGTGGTTTGCTAGTTTGGTTTGACATATTGGTTCAAAAAATTAAATGATAGTGTAGTTTGCCATAACTTTGTGACAGTGTGGTGTGACAGGCTGTATAACAATGCGTTATGACAATGTGGTTTGACAGTGCGGTTTGACTATGTGGTTTGACAGTGCGGTTTGACAAGGTGATATAAAAATTGAATTTGACATTGTGGTTTGACATTATGTTATGACGCTTTCATATGACAGTGTGGTTTGGCAGTGTGATATGACCGCGTGATTTGACAGCATGACGTTATATTGACTAACCTGCAGCATGTCTCGGTCAACTTCCCATTCCAACTCATTCTTATCGTTCATCTGTACAATCTTTGGGAACAGTCGCTTTAAATCTGGCTCTGTCTGAAATAACCTGAAAAAGATAAAAAAAAAGATTTCCTTGGCAATGGAAAGTGCTTATCTAAATAAGCAAAGTAGGCAATTAATTCTAAGCATTTTACATCAAGCATAACATCTGCTTAGATAGAAATGGCTTGGCCACGTTATGAGAATGAATCCTAAAATACCTGCCAAAACAGCTCTCACATGGACACCAGAGGGAAAGAGAAAAAAGGGGCCCCCAAAAAACAACATGGAGTCCAAGGATAGGGAGTGACCTGAGTGCGGCATCTCTGACATGGAAAACTGTATTGAAGATTGCACAGGACAGGAAAGCATCCTTTCATGTGCCACAAGGCATAACGAGAAGTGATGAAGATGATGATGATGATGATGATGATAACATCCGCCAAATCTGTTACTGATACACAAAGATTTAAAACATATTTTCAAATAAACGCACAATTTATGTGTTCAAACAAACGCACAATTTCACACACACAAAACTACCCTAAAAACAAAAAAATCTTGTACAATTCGAGAGTAAAATCACAAAATATCTTGAGTTTCTTTGTTTGTTTGTTTAAAAAAAAAACTAGAAACAAAACAACAAATGATGTAGAAAAAATACATATTGCTGTTAAAACATCCCACAAAGTAGGGTAAAAAAAATGGCGCTTAGGAAGAAAAACAGAACCGCAATCAAGCACATAGCAACGCTACGAGCATGAATAATGAAATACAATTCTGTGATCACTAACGCTCTCTGGAATTGCGAATCGTTGCGCATTCCCCGACAAAAATCCTCTCCTCTCGTTGTGTGATCAGAGGCTACTCTTGACACCCAACAGCCCCCTAAAGCTTTCAATGTCACTCGGGGAACCGGCGCAGAGGGGATGGCTTACAAGTCACGCCATTTCTAAGCCATATTAAAACTGCAATTTCTCTTATCTGACCCGAACAAATCATTCCATCCTTTTTCTGATATCTACATCTGGACAATGCTTGCCAGTTTGGACAGAGTGTGGATCTGAATGGACAGAAGGGAAAATTTGTGTAAGCCCCTTTTTTGGAGTCGGTGTCTTTTCCCAGACATGGCAGTTTGCACACGGTGTCTTTTTTCAGTGATGTCTGATTATCATCAGTGTCTTTTCCCTAACACAGGCTTGAGGTTTTGAACAACGGATCAACATCATGTCACATGTATAGTAACCCATAGGTGCTCCGTTCTAATTTTAACTCAAGTCTGAGTGCGAAAAAGCTCAGCACAGTGCACAGGCTCTGTAGCGCTGACGAGAATTCTGAATAGTTTTAGGTAGATTTTTAACTCCAAATTTTTCACGGGCAGCGCCGTAAAGGCTACACTTTTCGATTTCCAACTGCCAGGGGATTTTTTACGTGCACAACAATGCACACGGGCGTCCGATCTCACTACCCAGAGAATTACTAGAAGTCCAAGTCCACGTGAAAAAATCCCAGCCCTTTCAGGGGATTGAACCTGGAACCTCTAGCACTCTAGGTGAATACTATGCCTCGAGACCACGCAGCTCCCTCTAAAACAAATTAATTGTAACTTTTATAAAATTTTCCTTGCTTTTTTTTTAAGGTCTAATAGCAATGCAAAAACTTAGAACCTTTAAGGTTTATGTTCGATTCTCTACAAACTCTGGGTGTTTGTCTCTCCTTATGCCTTCTTATCTGCCTGTCTGCCTGTCTATCTGTGTGTCTGCATATCTAGCATTATGTGTTTCTCTATATGTTTTGTTTATCTTCGCATCGAAAAATGAGAGTTTAAAAAACTAGAAAATAATCAGCGCCTAGAAATTCAGTGACGTTTTTAAAACCAGTCTTGACAACCTCACACTTCTCCTAGTGGTTCTCTTATCTGCAGGGTCAGAGGTGGATGCTGAGAAGCAGAAGAAGAAGAGAAAGAAGAAGAAGAAGAAGAAGAAGAAAAAGAAGAAGAAGAAGAAGAAGAAGAAGAAGAAGAAGAAGAAGAAGAAGAAGAAGAAGAAGAAGAAGAAGAAGAAGAAGAAGAAGAAGAAGAAGAAGAAAAAGAAGAAGAAGAAGAAGAAGAAGAGGAAGAAGAAGAAGAAGAAGAAGAAGAAGAAGAAGAAGAAGAAGAAGAGGAAGAAGAAGAAGAAGAAGAAGAAGAAGAAGAAGAAGAAGAAGAAGAAGAAGAAGAAGAAGAAGAGGAAGAAGAAGAAGAAGAAGAAGAAGAAGAAGAAGAAGAAGAAGAAGAAGAAGAAGAAGAAGAGGAGAAAGAGGAGAAGAAGGAGGAGGAGGCGGATATAATTAAAAGGATTAAACAACAAATTACATAAGTAAAGAACGCACGGGAAAGTAAGAAAAGACATAAAAGTGCCAGATATTGACACTAGAAGCATCGCTACTATTGCTGCTGCTACTAAAAACACGAATAATAACAACTTCAACATTAACACATCCTTCTATTACTACTGCTGCTGCTGCTGTTGCTGCAGCTACTACTACTACTACTACTACTACTACTACTACTACTACTACTACTACTACTACTACTACTACTACTACTACTACTACTACTACTACTACTACTACTACTACTACTACTACTACTACTACTACCATCTCTACTAATACTACGACCAAAAAAAATAACAACTACTACTACTACTGTTGCTGCTGCTGCTATTGCTATTATTATTGCTGCTGCTGCTGTTACTACGACTGCTGCTGCTGTTACTACGACTGCTACTGCTGCTGTTGCTGCTGCTGCTGCTGTTGCTGCTGCTGCTGCTGCTGCTGCTGCTGCTACTACTACTACTACTACTGCTGCTGGTTTTGCTACTGCTGTTTCTACCACTACTGCTACTACTACTGCTAATACTACTGATGGTGCTGCTGCTACTGCTACTATTGCTGCTACTACTCATGCTGCTACTACTTCTACGACTACTATTGCTGCTGATTCTGCTACCGCTACTGCTACTACTACTACTTCTACTATTGCTACTACTAATTCTACTACTGCTGCTGCATCTGCTGATGTTACTACTACTAATGCTGCTGCTACTACTACTACTGCTGCTACTGCTGCTACTAATACTGCTACTACTGCTGCTGCTATTGCTATCAGTATAAAACTGCTTTTTATGCTGCTGATACTAGTATTAAAACTGACCCTGCTGTTGCTTCTATCAGAACAACAACAATTTCAACTACTACCACCACCACCAGCACCACCACCACCACGAATACTACCACTAATGCTACCACCCTTATCACTACTACTAATACCACCACCACCATAACAACTACTACCTCTACCACTACTGCTACTATGACCACCACTACTACACCTATTAGAAGCACTACTACAATTACTACTGCTGCTACTGCTACTATTATTACTGCCGTTGATGCTGGTGCTACTACTATCACTGCTACTGCTATTACTTCTACAAGAACCACATTTACCACTACTACAACTACTACCAGCACCACTACTACCATGATTGCTAGTACATCTACTGCACTTTCTCATAATATCTTTTCTTCTATCTGCCTCTTAGTACAGTCAGAAAGAAAGCATTCAGTTTATTAGCCTTGCTATTCCAAAAAATCTGGACCGGCAAGTATTGAGAGAGCACCATGAACGTTCTAGATCCACTTAGCTCCACCTCCCTCCCCTATCCCCATTCTCCCTCTCCCATCCCCATTCTCCCTCTCCCATCCCCATTCTCCCTCCCCCATCTCCAACACCTTCTTGCCTGAATAAGGCGACATTCTACTACGATTACAGATTGTAGAAAAACCAGAGCTGCTATCTAAAGGCAAGATGAGATCACAAGACTTGACTAATCACCTTGGCCAGGGTCAAGGGCGCCGGAAGCTGGGTACTTCCAAATTTGCTCAGGGGTGGGGAAAATGAAAGGAAAAAGGGCGGGGTGGGGGGGGGGGAAGAGTGAGATAACCCTAACGAAAAGTGTTTGTAGGATTGCAAATGTTACGCATTATCCACATTGTTTTACATTTCATAGTATTTAAAATATTAATTGTATTTGCCTTTCGCACATTTTTAGTATTACCATAATAATTGTTTTATTATTATTATTATCATTGTTGAATACTGAAGGAGTTTGGCTTCTACAAATAATAAAAGACAGAAAATTTAGATAATTTGGTCTCTTGAAACGTCATGAAAGTTTAGAGAGAACAAAACCGAAGGGTATATTTCTGGGAAGAGAGGAAGAGGGAGGCCAAGGAGAAGATGGGTGCAGGATGTGGCGGATGATCTCCAGGTGGGTGTATCGGACGCGGGACATCTTGTTTGTGATCGAGAAGTTTTCCGGAAGGTTGTTATAGGAGCTAGGTAGTAGTCGTAGTAAACTTTTACCCCACCCGGACATCACACAAGCGATAAACACCCGATGACACTCGTGCCAATGTGTGGATAAGGATCACAGTGGAGAGGTCCCAGAAACCGCGTTCAGCCATTAGGCCAAATTTATGGCTAGGCTATATTGCAGCCATTGGCAAGAGCCAGAGTAGGGCTTTAAGTAACGAAAAATTTCATCCTAAAAAGGACGGCAGGTTAGGCAAAGAAGCAAAGTCCTTCAAAGGGAGGCTACTTACTGATTATCATCACCACCATAAATATTATTATTGTCTTAAGCTGCTGGAATTACCATCCTTGAGGTCACCCTTCCTAGCCTAGAAAATACACAAGGTAGACGAATATAAGAAGAAGCCGGGGGCGCAGGACCCCCTGCCCAGCCCACCGATTTCTTGTTGTTGACACTCTTGGCTAGGATGTGGTATTTAAGCAAGCGGTTCCACTAGCCAAGGGGCACAATTAGCTTACAATTTTAAAGGGAGATAAAACAGGCACATGGAGTGAAAAGTGGGCGGCTGGGTGTTTGGTAAGTGCAGAAGGGATTGCTTGCTGCAGGCAACAAAACATGGCCCCATATGTGAGTGTTTTTGTTGTTGTTTGTGTG